AGGGACGTTTTTCTCACTCACAGGTCACAGAGGAATTTACTCATGCTTTCTTCTAGAACTTGTATGGTTTTGTTTTTTACATTTAAATTTTTATCCATTTGGAATTTATTTGTGTATGGTGTGACAAAGCATCCAATTTTATTTTTTTCCATATGGCTATTCAATTATCCCAATTACACTTATGAAAAACTCCATCTTTTCCCCCCAAGGTTTGAGATGCCACCTTACCACTTTGGCGTTTGTCTGGGTTTCCATTCTGCTGCATGAGGCTGTTGTGATTCACGTGCCCACGGCCCCTCTCCTGTAACAGAGGCCTGCCGTCCACTTAATGTTGTCGGGCAGAGCTAGCCTCATCTTCTTGTTCTGCCTTGTCAGGGCTTCCTGGCTGGCTATTCGTGTTTGTTCTTCCAAACTAACTTTATAATCGACCAGAACCAGGAAAAAAAATCTGATGGCATTTTATCTGGATTGTATTAAATTCATAAGTTGATTTCAGAGAGAACTTAGGAGACACGACATTGTGTCTTCCTAGTCAAGAACATGGAGTGTGTTCCCTTTGCTTTTGTCTACATTTTGTTTTTCAGGCCTTTCTGTATAAGTTTTGTGCATTTCCTCTTAAGATCATGCCTAAATGCTTTAATTGTGTTTTATTTATTTGCCATGTTGAACCGAGTCTCTGTCAAATCTTCTCCCGGCTTGCACTTGTGTATAGAAGGATATTGGGTTTTGTATTTTAATTTTATAACCTGCCTCTTTACTAAATTCCCTTACTGTCTATAGTATTTTTTTTTTCATTTTTGTGGGATTTTCCATAATTTATTCCTGTCGTATGCAAAAAAGCTAGTTTTGCATCTCTCCCAGTCTGCTGTCTCCCACTGCTCTCTCTGGGCCCACCTGTCCTGCAGGCTCTGGGCGCTGCCCCAGTGGCACCCCCTCCATGTGAGGCTGGGCCTGGGTGCAGCTGGGCTTGGTTAGTTTCCAGGGCTCAGCTGGCTGGGCGGCTCCAGACCTGCAGGCCCGCCCTCACCTGGGAGCTAGAGTGAGCCCCACAGTCCTCTCAAAGGGACCCGCCACACCACCCATGAATAATCGCCTGTGGCTCCTGTGTTTCTCCAGTTCTTAAGCATGTCAGGCACCCCAGCACTTCCTTCTGCCTGGTTCTGCAGAAACGTCCAGCTACAGGTCTCCGGGGGGCTCACTGGTTTGTCCCACCTGCCTTTGGGGGCCTGTGGAGGACAACTCATCTTGTTTTGTTCAAGTGCACGTTCTGCGGGTTTTGTTCTGCTACCTAACTGCTCTGTTGCAAGATTAAAACCCTCACCACTGCTGCACCTCCCCTTCCTCCACTCCTCTCCCACCCTCCTCTGAACACGATATCCTAACACAACCTCGGCTCCTCTCTTTGGAAGAGGATTTGCTCTCGAATGTGTGCCCTATTTAAGGGGCAGCTAATGGTGCTCCATGCTGTACTGAAGGGATCTTTAAGAAGACAGCTGGAGGTGGTTCCATTGCACACTTTACAACACCATATTTGGAAAAATATCAGGAATTCCTAAATCCTTGACAAACTACATCAGAAGGATTTGAGACACACCAAATAACACCTGGAATTTAGAAAAAGATTCAGCTAGTATGTATATAAGGCTTCTTACAGTAGTTCAACCCAACAACCACCATGGATGAGGCGGGAGAATGGGCGCTATTGAGAGAAATACGTCTAAAGTCTAAGCTGGAGAGGTTTGTCATGAGCATGATATTTCTAAAGTTTTGTGTTTTATATAAAAAAACAACAACGCAGATTTTGCCTTGAGTATCATAATGTATCTGTGCATATTTTAACATTAGACTACTTTTTAAATACTTGTCATTGGGCTAAATTGATGCCTGAGGTATTTTATTTATCTTATGCCTTCCCACACCCATGTGTACCCCAGTTGGAGAAGCAGTAGTCCCAGGCAGCATGCTAAGTGCAGACATGGTGGGGATCAAATCTGATCACGTGTGTGAACTTCTGCACTGATGAGGGAGCTGAGGCCTGGAGGGGTAAACTTCTGAACTAATTTCTCAGCACTGGCTCTTGTAGAACCAAGCAGTGCAGTTTCTCTGCATCCCACGCACTGGAGGGCATGGTGGGTCAGCTGAAAGGGTGGCTTTGGGGCCAGCAAGGCTTCCCACCTGCACTCCCAACTCCCAGATGCTGGTGGCACTCCCTCTGAAGGGGGAGCTGGACCAGAGCAGCCATCGCAGGCTTCCACTCACCTCAGCGCCTCTCGAGTTCGCATCTCTCTTCTCATCCTATCCCTGGTCATTCTGAGCTGGGCTGTGGATGGTGGACGTGCCCAGCGCAGGCGGCGTGCTTGTCGTCGGGCAGCCAAGACCTGTGGGGATGAGAGAGCCGTGAGCCTGGGGGCTGCGGTGAAGGGATAGAGGCCCTGGCATTCCCGCCAAGCCGAGGAAGAGCAGAATTGCTGCCCTCGCACTGGGCCCGGGGTTTGGGGACAGAGCTGCTTTGTGCAGATCCCAGATACCAGGTTGTGGGGCAGCAGGTCGGCGAGGGGGGTGGATCCATTTACAAACTCTGCTCATGTCCAGTCCCCAGCTAGTCTTGTTGGCAGGGATAGCAGCTGCCCCATCACTCGGAGTCGCTGCACCTGACAGGCCCATTTGCCACCGTCACTCACAGGAGCGATGATCTTCAGCATGTGCACGGTATGTTCTCTTAGAGATGCTCAAAGTGCGGAAAAACCACTTTAAAGTATGGTCTTAGCAAGAAATGACCTCTGTTTTCCTTTTTTTAAAAAAGTACCATTGCTTTCATGTTAAATTTGTGTCTGGTCAGGGCATGACAGTAGCCAGGGAAGGCACTCATGTGTTTATTTCTCACTCATTCATTCAATCAACACACATCTCCTGGGCCAGGCACTGTGTCGGGCACTCGGATATCTAAGAAATCAGAGGCAGTCCTTTCTCTCAGAATGTATGGCAAGCTCACAAACAATGGAAGTATACATCGGGAAGTTACATGTGCAGGATCTGCGGGTGGGATGCTCATTCCCCGCGGCCGATGCGCCATCCTGAGTCCTGGGGAGCGGGAGGGCAGCACCGCTGGACACCTCAGGAAGTCAGGTGTGTGGGGCATTAGGACCTCACGGTGCTAGCGGGCTGCCCCCATGGGGTCAGCCCAGGTGTGGATGATGCCAGCCGGTCCTGGGGTTTGGTGGGGGGGCATTGGCACCGGATCAGGGCTGGATTCCTGGAGAGACCTTACTCTTGAGGCTGAGATTCTAGACAGACAGGAATAGATGGCAGCACAGCAGGCATAGCTGCACAGGGGACAGAAAAGGAAAGAGAGCCTTTGAAGAAGTCAGGAAAGTCGAGATCCAAGAGGTGTGAGGGAAACCAGGACAATGCTGCTCCTCAAACGCCACCGTGCCAGAGGGCCGTGGGTGCAGGAGAAAGGGGAGAGACGCACGCAGGTTTGGAGCGCAGACCTGACGTTACTGCTCATGGAGCCTTGGTCTAACTACTTCACCCCTCCAGGCTTCAATTTTACTCATCTTCAAAAGGGGGTGCAACACTGTTCCCACTTCACAAGGTGTTGTAAGGAACAAGTGACAAAATTAGCGTAAACAGAGCGTGTGAGAGAAGCCGAGTGCAGAGCTGATACTCACCACACATTCATCATCGTCAGGAGTCCCGGGTGAGGCTGAAGGCTACAGGGAGGAAGCCCGCGGACAGGTCACCCAATGGCCATGTGGCCAGCAGGAGCTCTCGGTCTCCTCTGAGAGGGTAGGAGTAGGGATGGGGAGTGGGGGGATGCGGCCTGCCTGTGAGTAAACCGGGACCGTGTCCCTGGTCATAGCTGACTGCTCGTCGTTCCACACGAGCATTCCGCCTACCGCAGGTCATTGCACCAGGTTAGCAACAAGCCTGTGCACATCTTCCTGGTGGCCGGGAGACCTTTCCCTTCTTTCACGGCATCCGCACTGTGCGGGAGAACGCTACACACACAACAGGAAAAACTGACTTTCGGAAAGAAGGAAGAAAGGAAAGAAGGAAGGAGTAAATTTTTCATGGGTCCACTGAAATGCATATGACTTAAAGGTTCTCCAAAATCATGGCCAAGAATATATTTCACATTTGCTTCAATA